TATATATGCATGCTTACATTCACACACACATACATACATACATACATATATACATACATACGTACGTACATACATACATATATGTACGTATGTATGTATGTATGTATATATGCATGTACGCATGTATGTATGTATACATATTTATATATATACATAAAAATATATATATGTGTCTGTGTGTGTGTGCGCGCGTGTGTGTGTGTGCGTGTGTGTGTGTCTGTGTCTGTGTATATATATATTATATATATATATATATATATATATATATATATATGGCATTTTACGACGCACGATAAAAGGACACAAACAAGCTGTCAATCGTGAACGCACAGGTAAGGGATCATCATCCGATAGAGTATGCCGATTGGTAGTCGAACGCAGTGGACAATCCAACGCCAATGCGTACTAGAACATGAGCGCACAGATAGCTTCGCCACGTCCACGTCCACACCGCTGGGATACGGACGTTTACAGGCGGGATGTCAGACAGCAGTAGCATTCTATTAATAGGACGTACTCCCGGCTATTCATAGAATACACTCACGGATGCAGATCGTAAAAAGGTCTCCATCTCAGGATAGACAATTTCCAAGACCAAATCGCCCGCGCCGTTCCTCTCGCACGACATACCACACTATCTTTTTGATCGTACAATGAATATCATTCTTAACCACAACGTACGCGACGAACACGTGCTTCTCCGCCAATTGATCTCTCAGCGCATCACCGTGCACCTGAGCCACACAGTTCAGCTCAACGACACAAGCCCATGGGGATGTGGACACATACACTACACGCAGACAAACACACACACACACACACCCACACACCCACACTATACGTGAACACTTAAGACCCACAGCACACATGCATACCTTGATCTTGGGATGAATGACCTTCACCACAACATCACGTGAGCTGAAGGCGTGCTTCGCCACCATCTCCTCTCGCAGCACAGCCCGGTGTACCTGAGCCACACACCCACTGCCCAACGGCTCAGCGTCAAAGGACTCGAATATCTCACTGAACGGTGTGGCTAGCGTCTCGTCAATCATACGGCGTGTGTGTCGCATGGAGTGTGCCTAGAAGTGTGTGTGGCATAGGGTATACGTATGTGAGAGATAGGTGGAAGTCACGTGGTGTGTGATACAGACTCTGTGTAAATGACGCTATACGCACGCGTGGGAGAATGACGTACGCCAGGTAAAATACGCCTATAAAAGGATGCATGTCATCAGGATTCGTGAGAAGAGTGTGTGCGGTCATGCCAACCAGAAAATAGGCATGTGGTTGGGATGCATGCGCGAATGCTAGTCATACAGAACGCAGGGGCTATGCGAGTGTGAATGACTTTATTTGTATGGGATAACGGGTGCGAGGCGATACTGGTGGCTACTTGTATGTGCAGAAGAGTACGTGGGTGGTATGAAGCTAATACGTGCAAAGGAATGGTGCATTGGCTTGTACGGATTGTTTTGTGGGCAGTACAGCAGTGTGGTGATATACATCGGAGAAAGACCGCTGAATGTGGAAAGGGGAGAGGTGTTGGATGATTTGACTGAGACACCGACCTCAGTGGCAACACGACACATACGCGCCATATCTTCAAGCCTGGCATATCCACACGAGGCTGAAAACTTTGAATACCAACACGCATCGGTGGACAAAGTGAAAGCTACCCACATATATGCACTCTGATATAATTATACATAAATCTATCTATAT